AAAATAAATATAAAACATAAAAGATTGAGTTCGAAAGAGGAAAAGAAAAAGAAAGATAAAGCTTATTCGCCTCGTCGATCCCTTCTTCCTGGGCTTTCTCCCTCGTCTTGCTCGTGTTTCTAGCCTCCAAAAGTCTCCAAAAATCAGAAAATTAGGTCCAAGACTCGCCAAAAACGTGTCCAAGTGTTATATATATATATAGTTGGGGTCGAGTCCTAGTCAAAATAGGTTGAAATATCCCTAAAAATCGTAAAAATGAGTTAAACCCGTCTATGTTGCGCCCGGGGTCACACGACTCGTGTCACTTGTCACAAGAGTCGTGTGGAAATGTCGACAGCACGTTTCGGGACCCGTCGGAATGACACGAGTCGTGTCTTGGGCCATACGACCCGTGTGTACCTGGGAGGCTGAAACTCAACTTTTATGCGCAGCTCTTGCCTCCTGATCATATTCCCGCATATCAGGCGTGTCCAGGTGGTTGAAAATGACGTACAGGTAGTCGGATATGGCGGATTCCGATCGAATTCCGGGCAGCTTCCATGGCCATGCGCGAAAGTGACGAGTAACAACAGCCTCCGGATTTCAGGCGTCACAAGCGGCTCCAGGTGATCTGGTCGAGCTCTTACCGGCGTCGGGGTGGCTTCGGGGACGTGAGATTAACGAGCAGCGAACTTCGGCAGCTCTTCAATGGCGGACGTGCGATCATGCGTGAGGGAAGAATGAAGAATGATATCTTTCATGGTGAAATGACCACCATACCCTCAACTAATATGATGTTGGGCCATATTGTTTGGGCTGCATTTATGGACTATTAAGGTCCGATTTTTCGGCCCAATAAACCCAACAAAATGGGCTATCATGTTGCTCTGGTGGGGCTGTGTACTTGGGACCTTTTTCAATGCATTGCTAGTACTCTTTTTATGTCAATTTCACGCTGTTTGTGACTCCAAAAATTATTTGCAACCTATTTTCTTTCAAAACTCAAATAAAACACCTCATCATAGCTTAATATATATAATTAACTAATTAATTAAATAAATAATAATCAATTAAATATAATTAATTATATATCAAACTACGAAGAAACGGACACAAAAATCACTATAAAATGCACGTAAATATGACGCATGTCAGTGCTTCTTTTAGTTGTTTGGTTATTATCTAGATGTATTTATGTGGATTTCCTATAAATCTTCTATCGTCCCGAAAAAAATGTGCAAGTTAAGAATAGAAATGACGG